CCCACAAACACACCCACCAACTCCCTACCCCTCAAGGCCCCGCCAGTTCAGCTTGCTCGAGACATCGCTCGGTTGTTTACAGTCGTATCAAAAATGTGTTTGACGATTCGGTGGAATCTGCCGATCGTCAATTTTTGGGCATGTGTAGTTATGGGCATCATCTGAAAGCTTATTCATTTGCTTTGCTTTTTAAAGAAAAAATACCAATGTATCTTCAATCGATACATTTGCCGTTGCAAGAGGCGGGTAGCAAGGTCTCAGGGGTAAAATTACCGAGAAAATGGCCGCCAAAGTATGCTAATTTCTATAGCGTGACAGTCCCTGGAAACTGAATATTTATATATTTTGTACCCCTAAACAACGTTTTTCAGTAAAATTCACATAGAAATGTGTTTATATATAGATAAAAAAGGTATTAAGCCAAAAACAAAATTTCCGAAAAAACTGACCAACAGGAGGGAAATTACCTGTTTCTTCGATTTCATTATTTTGACCAGCGCCTGATTTCCCCACAATGCCTCACATTCACTAAACCCCGGCAAATCCATCGTATCTATAATCAAACTGTATGTTTCTTTCACTTTCTCCTGTCCTTCATTTTAACTCAGTGTTGTGTTTATTTGATGCACATATGTTAGATAGGAACAGACCAATATAGGAAAGTTCGCGATGCCGAAATATTGAATTATAAAATTGGTTGTGTACTAAGGAGGAAAAGCCTTCTGTATTTTAGGGGGAAAAAAACCAAAATGTGACGCCACCGTAATCTAAAAAATCAAACTTGTTTCCTTTCAGAGTATTCGACAGAATTTCTTAATAAACGGGTAGCATTTATTACCCCCCCCCCCCTTCCAAACCTCATGACGAAAAATCTGGCCTCCATCAGATGGATCAAATATTGTCAAGTCGAGATCTGACAAAAATGTGTGCAGTCTGCAGCGAGCTTTAGTAGAGTGACGAGCGACACAAAGGAGGTCTCGTGGAAAGTGGGACTAAGTACTGCGAGGCCAACGACGTGTTGGGATCAGGATCAGACTTCTGGCCGGCACTGTCATCGAGGAACAATGGACGAGGATAGAAATGACAGCAGGGACACCAGAGCAGAAGTTTGAACATGCAAAACTGCAGCGTTGGCAAAAATGTCTTAAGCTGTTGTGATTGAGATCCGGTGAGTGTTGGGTGAAGGTAGATAGGCGGAAGGAAGAAGCAGAAAAACGGGAATCAAACTCAGGTCACCTGCGTGTGACGCCGAAGCGCCTAACTACTAGACCACAAAGGCCAGTTCCTGTGACATGGTTCCACAATAAAGTTTCCTCTTCAGAGGCCCACAAAGACAGGCGCACAATGGTAACATTCCGCCGATCTCATTGGCTATTGTTCAACAGGCGTTGAATGTCACGCAAGCCACTGGCTATGACATTTTTCAAGAACTCAGACAGAACTTTCAGCTCTGGGTTTATGCCTTTATCTTAGGTACCACATAATTTGTCATCAGTGCTAAGAAATGAGCGCGCTCATATGCAGTTGCGAGCGCCGTAAAACCTTACTAAAACAAAAACTAAAAGCAATAAGAGTCTAGAAAAGTTTTAAAATGTAATACAGTCGATCCAACTTGAACGGCCACCTGTAAAAAACAAGCACCTGTACAAACAGAATGTTGTATCCCCATTCAGCCTAGGACTTCCCTGACAGACAGATTCATCGCAGCCCGCCTGCTAAATGATAGAAGTCGCGTCGTCGATGGACGCGGGAATGAAACAACTCATAACCATCGTAATCACGAGCCAGATCAGGAACAGACATCGGCGATCACGGTTCGATGTATATCTCTTTGCTCGTGAAACTATAAATTATTACAACAGCTATCATTATAGGCTTAGAGCTGTCTCAGTTCAGATGCCCGATGTTTCTATCTAGCTTAAAGTTATTGCTCTTGAACGGGGGAAGTCGATCTGTTTCAAGTTGACGAATATACTCTTCCAGGGAAGGGGGCGGTAAATGTTTACTCCTCGATATTTGCGAATAATAAGTGCGTGATGATGGTTTACCGGACAGATAAGAACGTTTAAAGGCAGAGATTGCCGGCGGTTGCATTGATCCCCCTGCATTGTTCTGTCTAGCAGACGCTGGGGGCGTTCAAAGGCCATGAATATGAACGATTCGTCCCATGGGAAATTAATCTCTCAGGCAGCAGACGCACTCGGGAAATAATTTTCTAGAACTTGTTGAACGCAAAGCAAGTTGATCGACTGGATACTGATGAGTTAGCGGATTTTGGAGTAAACTGAAACTCAGATAGAAGGATTGCGAGCAGACGTGTGTCTAGAGAGAGACGGGGTGGATGTTGTGTAATTCACGTACCTTCGCTTTCAATTCTGGTCAAATTTGGGAACCTCTTAATGACCAGGTCATCAGCCTTCAGAGCGACCATTTCTCTGGTCTGGAGAGGAGCGTACAGCTGAATCAAGTATCCTCCCCCCCCCCACACACAAAAAAATAATATACATTTTCCACTTCATATTGGTTTATTGGTTTGTAGTTGTGTTACGGTCTGCGCGTGCATCTAAATCGTCTACTTTTTGTGATTTCGCCTAACCTACGTCGGTGTGTTCTATTCTTATTAATGTCAGGATATTTCATGATATATATTTTCTCACTAGGAAAGTCTAGAGTTATGTCAGTGGCCATAACATCCTTCTGAAAATGTCTTCAGTGCATGAGACTGACTTGCAGCACAGAAAAGGTGTCCCCCAGGGTAAAAATGTATGGTGTACGATTTTGGCTAGGGCTGTCAAAATTTTCCAAGATCCATTGTCGAGGAGAAATGTGAAGCATGCTGACAAAATGAGTTTCTGCTCAGATTCGAGTCCCTTGGAAATAGGTAAACCACATTTTTAGATGTGATATTTTTTACAATTTGTGAGTATAAAATATTAAAAAGCAAGTCACATTTAAAGAATATGGCATCGATAGAAAATCTACAAGTTTTCCCCTAGTGTCGATTTTTTGCCAATATCTCCATTTGTGGAATGCGAGAAGTAACTCATTTTGTCAGCACACCTCACAAATGGGCCTGTGCCAGATAAGATGGGCATCTTGTTCAGTGTAATCGTGATTATGTGAGGCAGCGTGGTGGAATCAGGCTCTCGTCAAAACTATCAAAGTGAAGAAACTTGCATTTTTCCGCAGGTTTGTGAATTTTAATCAAATTTGTGTTTTCTGGCTCAACACTTTCATGCCCATTAAAGAACTCATTTCCGTGTGGATTTTTCTTAAAAACGTTGATTAAAGGCACTAAAAATGTAACTTTGCAGATACCATGGACTCTTTTTCTAAGGAAATAACTAATCTTTGGCGGCCAATTTCTCTCTCATTTTACCTCAGAAAACAGATGACCCCCACCTCCTTCATTTGCAACTATCTCGACTTGTATTCAAGATAAATTGATATTTTTTTCATCCAAATAAAGACAAGTGAACAAGCTTTGAGATGATACCAATAACTCTACATGCCCAAAAATTGACGAGAGCCTGATTCCACCACGTTGCCTCACATTCAATATGATGTCAAAGAAACGCAAGTTAGAAAGTAGGACGCGGTTGTTTGTGTGGGTCATTGTCTTGAGCAAGTGTCTTTTCGAGCAGGTTCCACTCTATAGCAAAAGGATGCAAAGAAGGTTCCACTCTATAGCAAAAGGAAGCAAAGAAAAAAATATAATGGAGTATCTTCTAACGTGAAATGGCCGCTAGGCTTCCTTCACAGGAAGTGGGGGTAGCTTGTGCTTCCACTTCCGCTTCCGCTCTCGGAGCTCAGGTCAACGAACGTGTGGGTTTCAAAACAAGGCTTCACAACAGACGATGGATCTTCACAACAGACGATGGATCTTCACAACAGACGACAGATATTCACAACAGACGATGGATATTCACAACAGACGAGGGATATTCACAACAGACGACAGATTTTCCTAACAGACGACAGATCTTTACAACAGACGACAGATCTTTACAACAGACGATGGATATACACAACAGACGATGGATCTTCACAACAGACGACATATATTCACAACAGACGATGAATATTCACAACAGACGATGGATATTCACAACAGACGACAGATATTCACAACAGACGATGGGTCTTCACAACAGACGATGGATCTTCACAACAGACGATGGATCTTTACAACAGACGATAGGTCTTCACAACAGACGACAAATATTCACAACAGACGATAGATATCAGCATCGGTGCCTTTCTCCGTGTGTCTATAAGCCATGTTGAATTTGACGAAGGAATTTGGGTAAAGATAAACCGCAACTCCCACCCACCCACTGGTCAAAACATAGTTGATCTACTACCCAAGTCTAGGGGTCACATTTAGATTGCAGCTACGTGATTTCGCAGTATCTATTCGGAGACGTCTCCGACGGAAACAGACCAATCAAAATGCTTTGTGCCAGTAGACCAAGTAAAACAATCTGGGGGGGGGGGGGGGGGGTTACAGATGCCCCCCTGTTTTAACCCATAATTTGTTATTTTGCAGTTAAGATTGACATTTTCTTGGAAATAATTGATTTGCAAATGTTTTAGTGGCAATATGTGTGATCTGCAGCAAATAATACGCAGGTTGACACCCCCCCCCCCCCCAAAGCAGTGCATCTTTGTGCGTGAGTGCGTCTCCGAATAGTTCCTGGGTGCTCTCTGGAGACGTCTCCGAATATCTTCACGTCATTCAGGAACAGGAAACCGCAAGGATGTGATCACCGTTTGGTGCATGGGATCATTTGGTGGGGGTGGAGGATGGGGGGTAGGTGGGGGTTGAGGGGGGGGGGTATGATTTACTTGTACCCGAATTTCGAGTAAACAAGACACACATGACGGTTTTCACTCACGCCAACCGAAAGCGGAAGTGGGCACGCACACAGGATTACCCACGCCCAACAAGTGAGGAGGGATTCCGGCCAGATCCTTTCTATCATTCCAGAGCCCATTGACTGAGTCCCGGCGACTCTTTTCACCAGAGTTCCCGACGTAAAACATCAGATCGAGAGGCAGAGCTCGCCATCGACAAATCCTCTCCCGTTTCATTCACGTCCTCTCAGTTCTCCACCCCCCCCCCCCCCCAGAGAGTCTAGAAAAGTGCTCCCCTCATCATTCTGCTCCCCGCGGTAAGCGGTGAACCCGCGCAACGACAGAACGACGGGAAGAAGAAAAAGTAGCAGAAGAGCATCAGGACAAAGAGTTGCCAAAGAAACGGACCCCACGGGGGGTTTCGGGGGGAGGAAGGAAAGAAGGGGGCGCGCACAATGACGTACCAACTCACGTTCCATTTGAGAATCACGTGTGGGGATATGTAAACTAATATCAGCGTAGCCCCGGGCAACGATGCTGAAATAGAAGATGCTGTCTTTTTTTAAAACAAAGCGTGTTCAATGAAATGTGGACTGGGATTTATTCCATGATAATTTTTTTTTCTTCTCTGAGAAAGTGAGCGGAAATATTACCGTTTAAAACGTAGGCCTTATTCTGTTGTAAACATTTCACGTAAGGGTCTCACTGACAAAGTTCTGCTCAATTAGAAAACGGGATGCTAGGATTCTGTTTGTATGAGCTCGGGCTAGCCTGAGCACTCTACTCCAACGGACAAAAAAAACCCGGAGGTGCTCGGTGATAAAATACTTGTTAAACTTCCCCATTGGGGAATACAAACTGGTGCGTCTCTTGAGGCGAAAGCGACGATCCTAATTATTATGAACAACTGTGAAGCCTACTGACAAAACGAGTTACTTTTTTAATTCGAGCCCTATAGAAATAGATACATCACGTTTATAGGTGACGTTTTTTTAAACAATTTATAAGTATGAAATAATAAAATTCACGTTATACTTAAGGAATATGACATCAATAGAAAATCTACAAATTTGACCTTAGTGTCGATATTTGGTCAATTTCTCCATTTCTGAATTGCGAGAAGTAACTCGTTTTGTCAGCACGCCTCATAAATACATGGTGTACTTCCCCATTCGGGAACAAAAACTGGCACGTCACTTGAGGCGAAAGCGACGATCCTAATCGTGAACAACTCATGCCTCAGTGTGGGGAAACACTTATGATAATGCTTTGGACCGGCCAAGCTTCCCTACAAAATGTGTCATGACGCGGTGGAATCAAGCGCTCGTCAATTTTTGGCCTGTAGAGTTATGGTATCATCTTAAAGGTTATTCATTTGCCTTGCTTTCGATGAAAAAAAATCCATTAATCTTGAACAGAAGTCGAGATATTTGCAATTGGAGCTGTTGTTGATGTTCTTGTTGCTGTTATTGTTGTTGCTGTTGTTGTTGTTGTTTCCGAAGTAAAATTAGTGAGAAAATGGCCGCCAAAGTTTGGTGACTTCCATAACTTAAGAGTCCTTGGAAACTGCAAATTTACCCTGTTTGTGCCTTTAATCCACGCATAAAAGTGTTTTTGAATGGACATGCAAGGCGTTGAACAAAGAAAAAAAAATTCGATCAAAATTCCGAAGTGGTTGAAAAATGCCGATTTCTCAGATTTTATTATTTTGACGAGCCCCTGATTTCACCAAACTTTCCTACAAAATGTATTATGTGAAGCACGGGTAGATTTCAAGTGGACCATATCAAATTAACATTCTTATCTATTGTAAACCAATTATTGCCAATTTAGCAATGTCTTAACTCTTACCTAACACCTAGGTATCTTCCTATTGTAAGCCAGAAATAATTACAATTAATTATTGACTGCCCTATTTTTTTTTATAGTAGAGGGTTTTACGGTGTTCGCAACTGCATAAGGTCATATGAGCGCCATTCCAAAAATATTTCTTTCTATTGTAAATCGGTCGTGATCTTTTAATACTGGCTGTATTATTTCTAGAAAGGCACCATTTTTATTTTTCTATTCAGAATCAGATTAAAATCTTCTAAAGCTGGCTGTATATCTTCCAGTCAGTGTGTCGTTCTATTGTAAATCAACGAAACCCATCGAGACCTCAGTGCTTTCTTGTCCTATCTCCATTTTTTTTTAAATAGTGAAAATGTGTCTTCTTCTTAAGTCTCTCTTTGTTATGAACCGTTTTGACTGTTATTAAAAATAGAGATTGGACAAGAAAGCACTGAGGTCGCGCCATATTAACGGGGCGAAACGCATTCCTGACCCATAGAACATACTTATCTTATAAGTCAGTGACAATTACCAACTAATGCTGATTGTATTATTCCAGACAGATAGCATTTCTTAAAAATCTATTGTAAATCAGCTATAGCCATCTAATAGTGACTAACCGCATTCCTCATAGAATGGACAGAGTAAACACCGCACGCACGCACACACACACACACACACACACACACACACACACACACACACACACACACACATATATATATATATATACACACTCACACA